CCCCATCCTGACTGGTGCCACCCTCCCCATCTCTCCCTTGCTGTCAGTTGCACATTAAGGGGCGGATGGTGGTCATGGGGCAAAGGGCCAGCTGTGTGTCAGTGACGAGATGGAAGGCAGCGTTGGGCGTGATAGGGCGGGAACTTCAGATTCTAACAAAAAGGAAAAATAAGATTGGGGGTAGAGGGGGTAGATAGACGGGGATTTCAGGACCTTCCCAGTGGTGGAGCTGGGATGGAGTGGTCCCCCCCCCCCCCAAAAAAAAAAATACCAAAGCCATTCTTAGTGTTATAAATCCCTCTTTCTGGTAGGTGTGCACAGTAATGTACAGACCTATCAGGCAAGGTCCCTGCCCCAAGGAGCTTACAACCGAGCAGCCCAAGCCTGCTCCCACTGCAACGTCTGGGTATGCCTAAAAAGCATGTATGTCTTTGTGAGTAACCATGTGATCTTATTGTTCCCAAGAACGGCCATACTGAGTCAGACCAAAGGTAGCCCATCTAGCCCAGTATCCTGTCTTCTGATAGTGGCCAATGCCAGGAGCCCCAGAGGGAATGAACAGAACAGGTAATCATCGAGTGGTCCATCCCTTGTCGCTCATTCCCAGCATCTGGCAACCAGAGGCTAGGGACGTCATGCCTGCCCATCCTGGCTAATAGCCACCGATGGACCTATCCTCCATGAACTTATCTAGGTCCTTTTTAAACCCTGTTATAGTCTTGGCCTTCACAACATCCTCTGGTAAGGCGTTCCACAGGTTGAGTGGAAAAAATACTTCCTTTTGTTTGTTTTAAACCTGCTGCCTATAAATTTCATTTGGTGACCCCTAGTTCTTGTGTTATGAGAAGGAGCAAATAACACTTCCTTATTCACTTTTCTCCACACCAGTCATGGTTTTATAGACCTCTATCATATCCCCTGTAGTCATCTTTTTTCCAAGCTGAAAAGTCCCAGCGTTATTAATCTCTCCTTATATGGCAGCCATTCCATACCCCTTATCGTTTTTGTTGCCCTTTTCTGAACCTTTTTCCGAGTTAATATAGTTTTTTGAGATGGGGCAACCACGTCTGCATGCGATATTCAAGGTGTGGGCGTACCATGGATTTCTATAGAGGCAACACGATAGTTTCTGTCTTATCTATCCCAACATTCTGTTCGCTCTTTTGACTGCCGCTGCACCTTGAGTGTCATCCCATGGCAGCCTGTTCTGGTATCGCTCCCTGTTGCCTTGTGGAATGTGGACCGGGAGCTGTTCGGGGCAGGGACTGTCTTTCCTAGATAGGTGCTTTAGCATATGTGTGAGCGCTCTGGGAAAACTGATAATAGCCAAAGTCCTCCTTGATTTCCGTGGCAGCATGACTGGGGCCTAAACTGAATGGCGGCTGGGACTTTTAAAGGAACCAAAAGGGAATTAAGCAGCTGAATCCCACTGAACTTCCTTCAGGTCCCTCTGAAATGCCCTGCTGGAAGGCAGTGACTGGCCCAGATGGCGGTATTGATGGGGCATGCAGAGTTTCTGGAAGAGCCAGACTTGCTTTACGTGGAGAGCAGCTTGTGTACGTTTCGCTTTGCATCTTCCCCGGGGATCTGAGGAGCAGGCATGTTTTGAAATGATCGGGAGCAGGAGTATGTGGCGGGGAGCAGGGATCCGTGGTGGCTGCTGAACTGAACTGCTGAGTTTGGAGCCGGCAGAGGATTATACAACACCCCTCAGCTGGGGGCTGTGACTAGTAATTTCAGAGCCTGTCTCAGCCGTCGGTTTTCCTTTTTAGGTCCCAGTTAAATACAGTGGCTGCGCTGAGTGCTGCCCTGGAGGTGGGGTAGGGAGGGCAACCTTTATCCTTGCTAATTACTGGGTCTGTGTATAAACACAGCCAAGCTCCATCCTTCAGTTTCATTATCAAAGCCATAATCACAGTGTCTGCGTTGCTGTCTCTCTATCAGAAGCTCTTATCGCAGAGGGCAAGAGGGGCGGGGCCCGGAAGATTTATAGTGGTGTGAATTGATGCCATGTGCAGCCATGGCAAAGCGGGCAACTGCTCCATGGGGAGTCCCAGAGCTGCAAGTGCTCCCTACACTAGGAGAGGGAGCAGGTGGGAGTCTGAGGGATGATCTTAGGTTGCAACACAAACAAGACTTGATGCAAGAAGAGTTTTCTCCTAGAAGAAGCCTTCGTGCAGTTGAGAATTGGTGCACATATGTCTGACTCACAGGTATTGTCCTGCTGTTAGGGACCTTGCTAGTATAACCCGCTGCTCAATGTGTTATGCCTCTGCTGGAGCCACACTGGATGCGAGGTTGACTCTGTACCAGTCCCAGCTCCCAAACCTGACTGCAGAGGTTCATGCTTTTTAGCTCTGGAGGTCTCTGGTGTCAGCCAAGTTGGTGGCCAGCATGGACTACTTGGTATGCTCCAGAGCGGTTAAGGGAGTTCTTCGCAGAATCCCAAAGAGCTGGGAAGGGACTTCCCTGATCAAATACCCATTGTAACGAGTTTCAGAGTAACAGCCGTGTTAGTCTGTATTCGCAAAAAGAAAAGGAGTACTTGTGGCACCTTAGAGACGAACCAATTTATTTGAGCATGAGCTTTCGTGAGCTACAGCTCACTTCACCAAGTGAGCTGTAGCTCACGAAAGCTCATGCTCAAATAAATTGGTTCGTCTCTAAGGTGCCACAAGTACTTCTTTCCTATTGTAACAAATGTGCCTAGTACTTGCCAGCTATGGCCATGCTGCGTGTTCTGGTTTTTTTGAAATGTCATGGCTACAGCAGGGATAGAATGTGGATCGTGGGGCCCTAACAGCAAACTGAGCCCAGGAAGAATCTTGAACTGCGATCGGCATCTGGCCTGTGATACGGTGGAGAAATCCTGGCTGGGTGGTGGGGGAGCGTCAGTGATAGAGGCTGACTGGTTCGTGCCAATATAAGTTACCGAGTATTTGCCACCCTGTTAGAAAGTTCTCCTTTTGGTATGGAACAGCTTGTGTGTTAGACTGGTAGCAGGGCAGGAGGGACACTTGGGGCCTTGCCCACACTAGAAAAATTTTGCTGGCATAGCTATGCTGGCAAACCTTCCTAGTGCACAAACCACTTTTATACCAGTGTAACAGAGTTTCTCCCAGCATAGTGATTCCCTGAGATGTGGGAACTCGCCAGTGCCCTGAGACCAAAGCTATGCTGGCAAAAGCATTCTTATGCCCGTATAATATCAGGGTTTATACCAGCATGAAAATCACAGCCCTAACCAACACAGCTATGCAAATAACAAGTTTAACTGTAGAGCAGACCTGAGTTTTGATGATATTGTCACCTGCTCCCAGGGGTATGTTATACTAAAATTCCCCCTGTGATTTCCACTATCTCTTGCCCCTAGTCCACCAGTGACTGTTCTCGCAGGAAACAATACTGTTGTTGAGTTCTCACCTGATGCTATATGACTAAATCAGGGTTTCTGGAGTCTCTGTAGGAGTCTTTCCTGCATCCCTCTCCTCTGCATCTTGGCCTCCGCTTCCAAAGACAGGTGCATGAGCGCTGGCCAGCTCTGCGTCCTGGCAAAGGTCACTGATATTGCTGGCACTAGGAATGGGGAGAATTATTTTGAGTGGCACAGTCTGCCCACATGCCCTTATTCACCACTCCATTCTGAGTTGCACGATTCGGGTTTGTTTGCAGATCGGACACTGCTGGAAATGTGACTCACCCGGCCCAGGGCTGTTTGATTCAGTAGGACATGCTGAGTGCCTCCACCCGGGGCAGGTCGCATGTGGCAGAAGCTGCCCTCCTTTCACCAGTGAGGGAGCTGGGTTGGGGTCCAGACTGGGAACATGCAGGTGAAAAGTGTTCTGGATCTCTGCCATGCCCCGATAAGAGGATAGAACCTCCCCGTCAGGCAGGGAAGACCTCCAGGGCAGCGCATGAGTGATAGGCTGCTGGCAGATGCACTGGTGACGTGCACTGAAGCAGCTCCCATGGGCACTTGGTGGGATTCCTTCCATGACCAGGCTGGACTGTGAGGTGTGCTGGAAACTTCCCACATGGCCTCCGGTTGGCTAGCTTCTGGCACATTTGGAACGGGAGGGGGAGGAAACAGGCGGCACTGAAGTGACACGACAGGAGATGAAATTTGAGGTTACCCTGGCCACTCGGAAGACTGTTTTTAAGACATTTTTGCCATGCTGCGTGTTCTGGTTATTTTGAAATTCCCCAGTGATCAGTGTCCGGCATGAGCCTGTCATGTTGCACCCAAAAAGTAGCAAAAGCTCCATTTTTCTCTCATGCCTCTTCCTGTCCATCCCTCTAAGAGCTACAGAGTGGGGCATGTGGGCATGAGGAATGAATATGCCAAAGTGACCCCACTTGGCATAACCACTAATGCAAGAAAGGGCTGGCTGGTCAGGGCAGAATGAAACAACTCCTGCTTGTGTATCTGGCACAGTGACGTGTACAGTAGAAACACAGGCAGACACCGTAAAGAGCAGTTTATTGCAAACTGGGAGACTACATGGTCCTAGCCTAGGTGTAAGTGGGTTCTTCGGCATAGCTCTTCTAGGAGTATCATGATCAAAACAAAAGTTGAACTTAACGGGAGAGGAGGTTGTTTTAAATCTGGCAGGTATCTAGAGTAGGAGGAGAAATGAGCACAAGTCCTGCTAATACAATGGAGTGTGTATGGATTAGTCAGTAACCCACCCGCTGCTCATCAGAGTAAGATGATTCCACTAACCTCCCCTTGCCCCCAAGCATGCAAACGGATGGCCAGTGATATGCTAACCATCGTGATAGGGATGCTTTTAGCTGGTAGATATACCCCCACAGCTGCAGGAAGTGAGACACTTCCTTGCTAATAGTCTGGGTCCCAGGCTTTCATGTGAAAGTGCAAACTGACTTGAGTCTCTCCAGCAGATGGGGGAGGGGTTTTGTAGCATGCGTGTCTGTGGGGTTTTTGATGTGTTTTGAAGTCAGGTGATCTGTGTTAAACCTCTCTTTATTTTGACTTTCAGAGAAGACTGGGAAGGTGCTGGGGGAATTCTGCCAGTTTTATGAGGAACAGTATGGAGTCGCGCTCTTCAACAGCATCCGGTATGAAATTGAGGGCAACGGAGGGCCGCAGTCCCAGCTGCTCCACCGCAAGGTAAGGGAGAGGCGCCTCTGAGGATTGCCCTGTCCTGGGATCTCAGGCTCAGTTCTGCTCCAGATGCCGGCTTGGGTTGCTGCTCTGCAGTATTAAATACTCCCTGCGACATCTTCGTGCCCAGACCTGAATGCAGAAATGGGGATGGGCCACAAAACGGATCCAGATTCGGTGTTGAAGGAGATTTAGCTCTTGGGTGCGTGCCCAGATGTACTTGAAAGGTGGGCTCACGGGGATGGGAGGCAGATGCCTTGGGCCAGTCTGCTGCCCGGAGTGTCAGCGATGATGCATTTGTGCAGAGCTGTGAGAACAGGCCTTCCTGGTGGGGATCTTCCAGTGTGAGATCCGGGAGAAAGCTGGAGGGGAAAATTCCACCTCTGTAGTGGGGAAAGGCCAAGTTCTTCCAGCAATTCAAGCCAAACAGGGGCTGTGGAATTAAACCCTTGTGCTTACGGGAGGCGTGTTAAAGGGGGGCACGGCAAGCAGGCAATCCCATTGGAGGTGGTTGAAGCTCTGGGGGAGCAGAACCTTCTAGCTTTAGAACTTCTGGGACGCCTGCTCCAGGCCAGGAGCTGGTACAGGCCCTTCACCCCGCAGCTTGGCTCTTGCCCAAGTTCCAGCGTTGGCTTTTCCTTCCCAAGTGAGTCAAGTGACTTAAATGCGGCTTTGTGCAACGTGAGTCATTTCCCCTGGCCACAGAGGGAGTGAATGGGCTCCCTGGAGAAAGGCAGGAGGTGCCGTGCACTGCAGCCCCACCTTGCCTTTCACTGGACTCCCTTGTGTGTCTATCTCCTAATGCCCATTGTAGCTCCACACTGCCGATATGGAGCAGCACAGACACCTTGCCTGAGGTGCCACAGACATTCGAGGGAGTGAGCTCTGGGAGGATAGGTATATCTGCGAGAGAATTTCCATCTGCATAGATGCCGGCGGTTTTGCGTCCAGAAGCGTGCTCCCTGCAACACGGGGCTAGGGACGAGCGCTTCAGAGGTTGGATCCTTACATGGATAACGAGAAAGTGACGTTACAGCTGCTGCTAACAAATTTGGGAAGGGATATTAAATCTCCTGTTTCAGGGCACAAGACCAATCTCCCGAACTAGGGGGATTAGGAGACCTAATGCTGGGGAGACAGATTCTCCCATTTGACCCCGAAGTAGGCAGTAAACCTTCTTCTGAGTCATGTGCTACTGGCCAGCGTCAGACAGGTGCTGGACCAGACGGACATTGGGTCTGACTAAGTATGCAAATTCCTGACTAAGTATGCAAATTGGGTCTGACTAAGTATGCAAATTCCATCAGTTCCTTCCGGCCTCCCATCCCCCTCATGTAAAACCATGCTCCTGCTTTTCCAGTTTCCAGATGCAAATGTAGCTAGTCAAAGCGCTGGAGATTGAAGCAAGAAGCATTGAACACCTTGCCCCTGCCTGTACTTACTAGCTTATTATTCTATAGGTCACACTGAAATGAGCCAACAGCTAAAGAGTTAACCCAGGCATGTACTAGAGCACAAAGTTAATTAGCATAGCTAATGTGTGGTGTGCAGTAGGCTAGGAGGACCTAGGTACAGTCTAAAATGAATGCATTATTGCAATTGGTAGTAGTCTGACTGGAGTCTGGGCCTTGCTCAGAGGCACTTCTGATCAACACACAACTACTGATGCATGGATTGATTTGTACTGCGGTAGCACTGAGAGTCGTCAGTCATGGGCCCATTGTGCTAGGTGCTGTACAAACACAATAAAAAACATCCCTGTTCCAAAGCACTTGCAGTCCAAGTAGATGAAGTCTAGACCCTGCAGAGACTGGGCAAACTGACCAGATGGTTTAATCTCAAGCATCATGAGTTCCATCTCTCGTGCTAAGTTAGCAACAGGAAGGTTTCAGAAACTTCCGGAGTATAGACACCCTTGTGATGTTTGTTGTTGATGGGTATAGAGGGTAGGGTCACATCCTCCTCTTTGGGCTGCTGCCCGAGACCGAATCTTGGAGACCTTTAAGATTCAAGCTGAGTTTGCATTGTTTCCACGCTGGCTGATATTTTTCCAGGGTGGGGAGGAGCATTTGGGTTTCAATTCTCCACCAGTTCAGTGGAGCCACTCATCCTGTCTGCAGCTCAGACCTGTTCCCACTGAATGTGAACTTCAACCATAAACAACGAGCCAGAGACAGGAAATACCAGGCTGTGTGAGGTTGGAAGCCTTTGGTTAGAAGAGGGAAGGGAAATCACTCCTGGGCCTATAATTAGGCTGGGAAGGATTAGTTTTGATTTCAACTGATACTTAGAAATGAGTATCCATATTAGTCTGTCTGACTCTTTTTACTAACAGGAAACAAACCAGACCCTCAGATATGACGTTTGGAAGTGGAGTTTCAGAAGCCAAATTGCACTGGATAATGCTATTTGAGGAGAGCATTTCGGTCGTGCTCGCTTGGTAGATCTAATTATCAGCAAGCATGGCCACCGCTTGTCTATCTTTAACATCCCCTCGGTAAATTTCACTTACCTGTCACCCATTTAGATTCGAATACTTCCAAGACTGACTGTAACAAACATGGGAGGGTGGCGGTGAAGAATGGGTATGGGGGAGGAGGGGGGAATTTCTACTCAGGATAAGATCACTCTAACAAGAATGGCTCTGTGTTGCAAGAATCGTCTGGCTCCAGGAGAGCTGGCTTCGCTCTAGCTCTGGCCCCAGGTGGGTTAAGCTGTTTCTGTTAGAAACTTCTGCCCATTGCTCACATGACTGAGCACCATCCCTCTGCCAGTGCATAGATGCCGCTGCTCAAGATGGTGCTGTACAAACACATGGGAGAGCCGTGGACTTCGCGGGGACCCCAAGAGAGCTTGGCCAGCAGCTTCCGAGTTCTAGCCTGAAATGAGATTAGGGTGTGATGGTCTGGACTCTGGGGCCAATTGTGCCACTCCACCTAAGTTGGGACTGCCAGGGAGAAGATGCTCAAAGCACAGGGCTGTGGGTCGGAGGATCTGGGGATCTTTCCTTTTTCTCTGCCACAGACCTGCTGTGTGACCTTGGGCAAATCTCTCTCCCACTCTGTGCCACTTTCCCCATGTGGTAAAGTGGGGGAGAACAGTCTCATGGGGGCATTCGAGGCCTATTTACATGGTACCTTCCCTCCAAGGACCTCCAAGCGCTTCACAACTAGTCATGAAAGGGCAGAGTGTGCGTTAAGCATGGCTTGTGCTCTGGGCCTGGAAAGCGAGTTACCGTTGTGGCAGACTGCAGCAGCTTTGAACTATCTGGTTACTGTCTTGAAAGTTTCTTTTGTAATGGTAGTTCGCTCAAGTGAACGCTCAATGGGAAAGGGCTCTGCTGGGGCTGAGTTCCCCTTCCACAGCAGTGCTCCACGTGAGAGCCTGTTTAGAGACCATTAAGTCTGGCACGAGTCGCAGCCTCTGCTGTAAACACTTTGATGTGTGTTTGTGTATTTTATTTATCCCAAGCTTCCTTCTGGGGAGGCGCTCTGGGACTCTTCCTTCACTCCAGGACAGGTCCTTCCTGAGCCCACCACAGCCACTCTGCAGCCGTGAAATGAGGATGTTCCAGAACAAAATGAAGCACGTGGCTTGATAGCCTTTGTAGCCCTGCCAGCCCGGTGCTCCGGCTCTGGGACACTTGTTCGGCCACCTCGGCTGCCAGCCCAGCCCACGTGCCGACACCTGCTCTCCGTGGCACTGCAGGAGATCCTGAGGGCTGCTTCTTTCTTCTCTTGCCATTCAGTTAGTGCCAGCCACCTTCGTCGTCTTGTTGTAACAGCGCTGTTCACGCAAGAGCCTCCTTCTCTGCAGCTAGACTGCCTTCCGGTCCAGAACAGTTGCCTCGGAGAGTCAGAAGAGTGACCCGATACATCTATTGTAACTTCACATCGCTGCTGGAAACCTCTCTTCTCCCCGGCCTGTGCCTCTTCGTTTACCCCTCCCTCTGTTCTCATCGCCTGGCTCTGGAAGTCGGGTATTTGCGATGGCTCTGTAAAGCGCTTGGAGGCACAGCGTTCTTGATGGGAATGATCAGAAACTCGCTGTCAATATTGGGGAGCTCTCATAAGGGAAGGGGAGGCTGGTTGGGCTAGTCTGGCCATTGGCGTCGGCATGGGGGGCCTTGTACCCATCAGCGCATGCAGCGGTGCAGGTGAGAACAGGGATGTGGCCGTGCAGCCTTGCTAGGTAACGGTAACTCCAAGGCATGCCCAGAGGATCATGCACACAGCTGCTGTCCCAGTGAACAGGCCTTATGTTCTTGAGTCCCGTTCCAGCACGTGGCTCCACAGGAGCCGGATTCGGATCTAGAGGTGGGCCCCAAGTGGGTTAAGTAACTTCTCTGAACGCCTGCACCCTCTTGCGCATGCTTCTCCACGTGGCAGGAAAGGGGGAATGCTGGGGTCTCTGGGGAGAGCTCCCAATGCTGGTTAACTGGCAAAGTGCAGCCACCGGAGGTGAGAGCGAATGGGGTGCAGACAGGGAGCCCAGGATGGATGCTGGGCTCAGGGAACCAAAGGCACCCTGCTTTCTTGTTACAAGATAACTTCCCTGACTGGGTCTACAATAGCCTCTTTTCCCTAAGATTTCCAGCTGCTGCTGTTACCAGTGCTGCCCTGCCGATGGGAACTCTACCATAGGCAAGGCGTTTTACCCAGCAAGTCCTCCGGCTTTCCTGAGAGCTGGTTTTGTAAGCTCTTTGAGGCTGAGACTGTCACTGAGTGTGTACAGCACCTAGCACAATGGGGCCTGACTTCAATTAGGGGCCGCTAGGTGCTACCGTAACAAAGGCTCAATAATAGATGGCATGATGATCGCTAAACGCCTGCTGCTTTTGGAGCCTTGTTCGTCTATCATGCTCACCGCTGGAGTTGTGATGGTGAGGAAAGTCTAGGATGGGCAGGACAACTGTATGTTCCACCCTTGAGTGAGAGAGAGAGACCAAGCAACTAGGATATTAGTAGAATTCGCCAGCCTTTCACTGATTCTGATCTGGGGTGAAG